CCTAATAAAGGTATAACGTTAAATCGTAGGCAAGACCATCCTGAGGTAAACATATTGCATTTGCTTGCAAATGTTACCTTTCTAGTTAGAATTTGTTTTGTTTATTCCTTCAAAGGCATTTTATAGTGGCAAACCAAGACTTTCAAAGTCAATTTTCTGGTTATTCTTTTGATGTAGCAAGTTGAATCAAACTATCGTATCCCAAAGTGATATCTGTGAGCCTCATAAACCATTTTAATGTTTATCCGGTGGTTATCGCACCTGACCAGGGATTATCTCACCATATACACCTCGGGTCGGGGCATTAACGCTTTTTTGTTCATTGGCTCAGCATGCATTCATGACATTAGTGCAATACTTTTATATCTTTATTTAGTCAGATGTCCATGTTGTATAAATGAACCTAGTTGGCTAACACATGTTGTAGTTTTGCCAAATTAACTGTTCCATCTTGCTATAGGCTGTCGATTTAATTATGTGTGTAGCTTTGATATGTCATTAATAAGATCTAGAGGGATTTAACAAACGTGGAAAGTGCATCCCGTGCTCACATTATGAATAGCTTGATGTCCTGTAAAATTTTTTGAAGATTGTCGAATTAGGCCAATGTGATAATTCTGGGCATCTTTCCCTTTAAAGCTTTCAGGTTTATAAGGTATTTGATATATTAGATATACCAACAATAACAAAACTTATCAAACCATTCGATAGCAATCGTATTTGTCAGCTAAAACGCCAATGTGTTCTGCCTCTCCCACCTCATCACCAGTTCCCTGCCAACCGGCACAGAGCAGTAGCAGGGCCAGTAAACCCAGCGCGCCTAAGCCCAGGAAATATTCCCTGTCCAGGGCCTGTAGATTGCTGGGGCCTCGTATGAACAGCACAGGGTCTCCGATCATGTCTCCACCGGCAGCCCGCTCCAGTCGTGTTCTACTGCTCATCACGATTTGTTTCAGGATACCGCCTGGTAAGAACTGTGCGCTGCTACAGTCCAGTGTTGCGTAGTAGCCAATCACGGTCGTTCCTCTCTCTGTTCCGAATGGAAAGTGTGGGGATGGGTGAACACTGGCTAGGCTCACGTTCCCTTGCATCAACTTTGATATCCTTAAAGGCAAAAAGACGAGCTTACACTTGTTGCAATGCCGCTACCACGTCATATTTCGATCATCCTGATTAGTGGAAAATACGAATGCGATGGTAAACAAGAATTTATGGAGATCTCAGACCTCCATGAAATATTCAGACCCTGTTTAGGGGTGACTGTGTCTATACTTCTTTTTTCTTGTAAGGGAAACAACACCAGCGGTCAAGGATTGAGGATCTAGAGGCCATGTAACGAAAATGCCTGTGAAAACACCAAGCACTACCAGATAAAGACGTTATTAATAGCCTTCTTCCTTGCAACCTGACCTAAGGGCCATGCGGAAACACAGACACACGCACCTCCCTCAACACAGACAATCATGTCAAAAGTAATACCTTCATGGAGGCTAACATAGATAAGCAGAAGTTACCATGGCAGCGTATGACATTGATTAGTATTGATCTCTTTACCTGTAGTCACTTTGTGTCACTGAAACATCTCTCAATACAGTCGCTGTCCCTTCCGTCAGTATGTTAGCTACAAGTTGATTTGTCTGCTTTGTTATCTGAGGGGAAAATACACACCTAGTTAGCACCGAAGTTCAAGCCGCTTCGAAGTAGAGAGTACTTTACAAAAAATACAATCAAAGACAATGCCATTAAAACATTTGACCATTAAGACATTGAAGATCTGACCTTAAAGCTTACCTTCTGTCTTTGGACGTCTATTTCAAAGACAACAGTGTTCTTCTCCCGCCCGTACGTGTACGCCATGTCCTCGCTGAGACTCGCTGTTTGTCGTCTACCTGAGTGTCGACGTCAAGACCAGTGTTATCATAATAACATGCATAGCAGCTGCAGGGTGAACAGTGTGAAATGTTAATGATTTAGTTAATTACAATTATTTATTCATTTATTTTTATACTTATCTATATCATATGACACGACGTTCAGCACTGGAATTCCAATACTGAGGGAGGAGCTTTAGCACTGGCACAAAGCCGATCCGTACTGGAAAACCAGCGCTCGACTTTCTTCAGCGCTGGAACACCAGTGAAGAAGGCGTTACTTTTGTATATTTGCGATTACAATCTCTACTGGATAAATAGGGTTTTCATGTTATCCTGGCCAGTTTCGCGTATCTCTACGTTTTTCATTAGGAGCCAGTAATGCTGAGCGATCGTCGGGATAGCGCACTGAAGCGGCCATCAGATACCATGGCAATGATTGCAGATATTAAAAGACGTAAAGATCACTCGCAGTGTCTGGCGTGTAATTGTCGACTCCGTCAAGGATAATGCTAGAAGGGAAAGCGGTATCCACTCGTTTTGCTCACTGAGATAACGACTGGGGGACACTGTATAGAACTCCAGGCAAACGTAAATCCAGGCAATCGTCCTACCTCTCAATTAACTTCTATCTGTATAGAAATGTTACTAAGATAAGAAATGTCTCAGAAATAAATGGCGACATCCCGTCCTTTTATCCTCTGGGAGATATATACATGCCAACTGTGTGTCCTTCTTGGATCATTAGTTCTCAGTAGTGGCCCCGTCCATCACGCAAAGGTCGGGTCACACAAGACGACGTGTACGTTGTATCATCAATTAGAGTTCAAAGATCTCATACCTTCGCCAAATGATTGAAAACGTTCAGTAATATTCCACTGTGCACAGTAGTGAAACCACTACCACGTTTGTCGAGGATTGTACGTAGTATATGCCACTTCGGGGCGAACCCGGCAGCATATAATAGAATGAGAGGATTCATCAACTTTTCTAATAAATTATGCAAATTACATTCTAATTGCTTTATCGTCATCTAATAATGCCAAGCATCACTTAAGGTACCTACCTAACGCGTTTCTGTTGGTATATATTTACGGCATAAAAACGAAATAAACCAAATTTTGCCCAGTCTGACAAAGTTGTATCCATTTGCTCAAGTAGTTTTTCAGGTGATCTATCTTAATATAAAATACCTATGACGGTTCTATATTTCATTTCATCCGTTATCTTAACGATTCTAATCTCTTGGGGATTCAACACATCCGTATCTAGATGACGAATTACGGGTAGTCAAAAGGAATCGAATACCCATCTTCTTTGAAAAATAGCAGGCATCACAATAGCAGATTCTCCCTGACGACTCCGACCCTGCAGCTACAATAATGTACCCCACACATGCATTTTGCACAATCAATCATTACTGCCGTTTAATTTAACTCGCATAGGAGCCTGAATCGTAAACTAATCAATGTGGAAATAAGCGCCTTTTAGTGCCTAAGGAAATGGGCTCTCTCTTGAGAAATACGAACGTTAGGCCACAGCAAGTAAATTTTAAGGACGGCATCCTCCGCAGACTCCAAATCTAATGCGAGCGGGCGAACAAAACATCACAGGCCAAATAAAAGATTCCTACATTTTTAAATTTTGACATCATAAACCTTGTTAAACAAGAAATGATACACATATTGTGCTAAATTTACTGTCAGCTATAACAACATTCATTTCTCACCGAAACAACTTTGAAAAATAAAAGTTTTCAGTTGTTGAACAAATAGTTTGGATTCAGTGGGAACATTACATATACACAGCCACCATCAAATATAAAAGGCGAAATAGATCTCTGAATCAAAGTAAAATATCAGATCATTGTCTTGTCTCCTATCTTAATATTTATCTGCCATCAACATTCAGACGTGAACAGAAATCTTCGCCCATTTTAGGCATGTTGATCACTGCCAGAAGGCCACAAAAGCTTTTTTCCACAATCAGGCGAAAATTAATGTGCGCGTTGATGTCATCCATAAAAAATACTTGTTGTGGCCTTAGATAGAATGCTATGATGACAGATAAGTAGGGGCCATTTTACTTCGTTCACAATCAGCAGTTGCCGATGTGACAAATCAATATCGATATCGGTAAAAGGACCTATGGACGGGTCCTTAGTTATAGGCGTGTTCTTTGTTAAAAGGGGCCGGCATTATGTAGCATTTTTGCACCAAAACTGAAATATTCAATCTAAAAAAACATTTTTGTGATTGTAATTTATTTCACCATTAAACATATTTGTGCAGTTACCTCACATTTCTGATATTTATAGTTGACGCCTAAACAGCCAGCACTAGTTTTTGCACAACCCCAAACTACCAGAATACAAAGTTTAACATGGTTGACTGCTGTGTTTCCAGCTTTTAAACACACTCATAATGCGTCATAATTTGCATCGTCATAATGTTACATAATGCAGCTTTAATTGTTTCGTCACTTGAAACCATTTAAGAATCCCATGGTGTATACGTTCTGGTGTATGAAACCATTTAACAATTTCTTGACGTAATGATTTCTGGCACTTGCTGTCATTTCTCTTTAATTGCACACAGTTCTATATTGCTGAGGGAATAGAAATATTTAGTTATGTCTATATCTACAATACTGACACCAATTTAACATGATTGTCTATTCTGCACTCCAACTATGAAATGATATCGATGCCAGATTTTCTTGAAGTAATCAAGGCAAGCAAAATACACAATAAATGGGATGAGCGCAATATACTTAGTTTGTATCATATTTTAGTAGGTCTAGAGGCACATATCATGAAAACAAAGGTACAGACGCCTCAGATATGCAGATATGTTGCAGTTGAGGCATATCACGACCCCCTAAGCCCCTGTCACACATTCAAAACCTTCCCCCGAACACCAGGCGACCAAGTTTGGCTGAAGGTCGGGAGTCGTCCGACTGGATTTAGGCCAGGCCTACCTTTCAATACCAATCGAAAACCAAGAAAACCAACCACCACACCCCTACTACCTACTCCCGAACACCAGCCAACAACCAGCCAACCAATGCCGAACCTCCCGTCTACACCCGAATGATTTAAACATTTTGAAACATTGGGCTGGTGCAGCCGAACACCAGCCGACGGGTGTTCGGGAGGCCACGTTCGGCTATTTGTAACAGGGTCTGCATCAAATAACACGTTTCTTACCGGGTCCTTTGATTCTGTCCTGCACACAGATTGTCCTTGGATCAGTTCCTCTGACTTGACTTGTCAGAGACAGGGTGAAGTACATCACCCCAGCCGTTCTCCAACACCACTCCAACATCTTCCAGCGAAGATTCCACATGTTCGCAGATCTCACAACCTGTATGTGATTCCCTATAAATCACCAAGCAGATCCTTTGGTGGCTGCAGAGACGGTATCAAATTGGGCAGACAGTATCTTATTTGCCAGGCAGTTAGCTTTTGTGTTGGTGTAAAAAAAAGAGATACCAGTACAGGAAACAAAGCCCGATAAAATTGCCTAAATCACGTCAAAATAAGCCGAAGCCCAAACCTCTGCTTGGAGAGTAGTGATTCACCCACTGTCAACTCTTGTCTGTGTCTTAGAGACGGTTACGTTAGGCCACAGCAAGTAATTTTCATGGATGACATCAGCGCGTACATTAAGTTTCGCCTGATTTTGGAATAAAAAGAAGAAATTTTGTTGCCCTCTGACAGTGGTCAACATGCCGAAAATGGGCAAAGATGTCAGTTGTCATACCGGAACGTGGATGGAAGATAACTATGAAGAGGGGAGACAAGACAAGGCTCTGATTTAATGTTTTGATGCAGTGATGTGCTTCATTCCTTTTATACGTGATGACGGCGGTGTACATGTGATGTTCCCAAAGAATCAAAACCGGTTGTACAATGATTGAAAACTTTTATTTTTCAAAGTTGCTTCTATGAGAAAGGAATGTTGTTAATAGACGGCGGGAAACTTAGCACAATATAGACATCATTTATTGTTTATGATGTCAACATTTGAAAATGTAGGGACCTTGTTTTTTAGGCCCGCCCTTTTTTGGCCTATCGCATTAGATTTGGAGTCTGCGGAGAATGTCATCCATACAATTTACCTGCTGTGGCCTTACCGACCAGGCGGCACTTCATAACGGCGTATCTTTAGACAATAAATCATGCAGCGGTCCAATGATTAACACGTCGTGTGCTCTGGAGTCTGACGGCCCGGAGATTCAACACGTGGCGTTACAGATGGAATCTGCTGGATCTAGACAGGCAATTACCTTCGGGGTTAATCATCATTATCGGGCACACATACATGTAGTACTTGTACGGGGATGATCACGTATCCGTGCTGTTGGTCTAATTATCAAGTATGTTTATGATTAATTTTTTTTGTTGATTGTATTATACACGATGACACGACTTCCCCACCTGTACGGTGGAGTGACGCCCAAAGAGCCTCTTTGGTTAATCAGTCTAACTGTGTACCAAAAAAACCCTACGGATTTGGTGCGCCAATGTGTCAACAGCTGCACATTTGCCACCGAGAGCCGTTAATTTTTTTAAATTTTATTATTAATAATTGTACATGACTCTCATTTTAATTTTTTACCCGCGACCCCTCATTCACTGGACCCTGTTGAAAAGCAGCCACATGGCCAAACAAGTTATCGAGACTAAATAAAGGCTTTGATTGATTGATTGATTGATTGATTGATTGATTGATTGATTGATTGATTGATTGATTGATTGATTGATTTTAAAAGCTCAATTTTGAAAATATGCATAGCCACCAACATGTGACGACGCTATTTGGCATCGCGAGGTGTGTAATACATGCTGTCATTTAATGCATCATCAATGCTTTGTGAATATCAAAGTACTACTGTAACATTGCTTTACATGCCTGCTTTGCATATTGGAACGCGGGTACCAAAAGTTTTGCCCATTTTGTCCAAAGCAAATTGAACATTTTCACTGATATAGTCGTGAACCTGACATTTCACTCATGTTAGTCGCGTATTAAAGGCCTTTGCCTTTTGTAATAAAGGGTTGTTATCATTGGACGACGATCTATATATCATCCCCTTTTGGTTATGGCTGAGCTGTGGGTGTTTTCATAGCCTCCTGTGCAGGCCTCTGGGCGGGTGGGAGTTTTGATACTGCGTTTTGTAGAAGTTTTAATGCGTTCTTTTGCCGGCCATCCTACAACCAGCCGCCCAGAGAAGATTTGTATCCGTGGCGGCTGGTTGTAGGATGGCCAGCAAAACAACGCATTAAAGATTCTACAAAACGGATTATCAAAACTCCCACCTGCCCGGAGGCCTGCAGAGAAGGCTAGTGTTTTCAGCCCGTGTGCACTCTCAACAACCCATCCAGCGGTGGTCCTCTACCTGTCGGTAGTGTCATGATCATGAGGCCCGTCTGTGACCCTGAGACGGACCGTTGCCGTGGCCTTCCCGAGGTAGTTGACCGCCATGCAGCTGTAGGTGCCCGAGTCGTCTGATGACGCTGACACGACGACTAGACTTCCGTCTGACAGAACGTGGAGACCCGGATGTTGGGAGTCAGAGGTCAGACTCACGCCGGTAGGGGTAGTCCAGATGACCGCTGCTTCAGGGCAGGCCGTGACCTGAAGACGGTGAGTGTGGAATGTTCGCCCATGTTATTAAACACTGTTGCTATATGATAGTTTAAGTCACCACCGGACTCCTTTGCAGTCTGAATAGATTGTAGAAATCGGCCGAAAAAGAATATAGCTGGACCCACTCATTGGCCAGCCAACTCCCCTGGCCAGCTATATGCTTTTTAGGCCGATTCTTACTATTTACTTATTCTTACTATTTACTTATTCTTACCGGCCGATTCTTACTATTTACTTATTCTTACCTGCAAAAGAGTCTGGTGGAGGCTACTAGTATATGATAGTTACAAGTTTGCTGCTGCGTATATTATCATTTGACAAATCATCGTGATTTATGATTTATGTGGTAGGCTACCTACCTGACAATTGAGTACTGCCCCTTGTCCCACACGGACCACTGTGGAGCTCCCTTTGGTGTCTATGGTTGGTACTGCGTAGTGCGGACAGTCGCATTTGAGAGTGTTCAAAGGTACCTTCCGCAGGACCTGTTTTGTCAAGTTCCCTGGGCTGGCGCATTCAAGTGTACTAAGATGTTCGGCCTGCAGCAGGGGCAAAGTTGGGAAGTCATATGCCCAAAAACAGTTACTCAAGCAACTGGATATGATTTTGAAAACGTCAGACGTTTCAGCTAGTATCCACTAGCTTTCGTCAGTGACTGAGAGACCAGAGGGGAAAGCATATATAATGATGGGTCAATTTACACGGTGCATCCCGGGGTAAAAAAAAAATTTCCTGCGACAATAATTTTTCAGTTTTTTTTTTTTCAGTCTCATGACTTCGTGCTATTATATATGGACAGTTTACACGGGGCATTTTTTTTATTTATTATAAGTTCAAACCTACCGCAGGTGATCTTGCATATTGCGCGTACTCATACATCTGACAGTCACACTTCCAAGGGTTGTCACTCATGTCTTCAAACTCCATCAAATCTCCGTAGAAAGTCAGAGGTTTGAAGACTCCTCCCGGCAGGAACTGTAGATAGTTGTTGTTCAGCTGCAGCCACTTCACCTCAACGGATTCGTTGAAGGCAGCGCCGTCTAATGTATAAAATCATAATGTTGCCGTTAAACCTGCTTTTAATCGTCTTCATGTGCTAATAGCCAGTAAATACGCCATCTTTGGTCGTCACATATCTATGGCTTTGAGATAGTCCCAGTCATTGAGTAGACTCTTTTTACACATTCAACCAAGTCTTTTATTCAGCCTCAGGGCAATTCGTAGACTGAATAAACGACTTGGTCGTGTAAAAAGAGTCTCTTTACTCAGTGACTTACCAACCTGATGAAACTATTTACGGAGTCCCAGTCATTACATCTGACCTCATGAATAAACTTACGTCGGGTCCTACTATGACAAAGCTTGTGACGGAAAACGTTTTTTTTTCTATTATAACTAGGGATAAATCTTGATGGAATTAGCCAGTTTGCCATTGATTTCAACAGCATGACACTGTTTTTGCGCAATGTAAAATGGCACCGGCTGGGTCACTTTAGGTCAATTGGGAAGTCTATTGAAAAATGCGTGGAAACTTTGATGCGGTTTCCTTGTTCTCTCTCCAATCTTGTCACTATATTTTTATAAGAAGACCACTTGTCAAAGCAGGCCACCTTTGCTAGATTCCTTGAGTGAGTTGTTGTCTTGGACACGTTTGACTGTATTTGGTTCTTACCTATGATACGAAGCTTGGTGTGATCCAGATGCACACTGAACAGCACTCCGCCCTTGAAGGCTCCCGGGCCCACATATACGATAGGGTTGTAGGACAAGTCCACTTCTTCCAGCCGGGTTAGCTTGTCGAATACAGACTCTGGCACTGACGTCAGATTGTTGCCACTAAGATAAAGTTAAAGTGTGTCAAAAATTTGAACCTTTAGGAAAAGGAAAATCCCTAAAAGGGTTGGACAACACTGTACAATCGGGGTCTGTTGGCGCGAATAAATGTCCTTTTAGGCTAGCGCTGCTGCTTTGATATATATTTTTGGCGGCGCCTCAGGGGGCGCCTAATGGTACAGTATGCAAGAATTCTAGGAATTGTACAGGTATTTTATCCACAGGCATGGAATGTCCACAGGAATGTTTCACAGCTCTGGAATTAACAACAATCAGCTTTTATTTTTTTAATAACATTTAAAAGTTTCAAAGTAAGAGTCATTTTACTTACTTAAGGTTTAGCGTTTGAATAATCGTCTGGTTGACGAAGTCACTGGGATGGAGAGTTGTGATCTCGTTCCCAGCCAGATTTAGCGTGTCTAACTGGTTGATTTTCCCGAGCGCTTCCGAAGGAACCCGAGTGAGCCTGTTATCGGCGAGGTTCAAAGTCCCCAACCTGCCGAGTCCGGCGAACACGCCCGCGTCAATGGTGCCTTTCTCTATGAAATACTTTATACCAGAGAGACCGAGGGTAGTGATGCTGGGGATATGGGAGAACTGGCCCTGTACGAGGGACTCCAGTGGGTTGTAGGACAGATCTAGCGTACCAAGTGAACCTGGTAGCGGCGGTACTTGGGAAAGTAGGTTAGAGGACAGCATGACTTGCCCTATTCCCTTCGGTAGCGGCGAGTCCATGCGCACAAGCTTGTTGCTGTGCAGGTTAAGTGTCTGCAAATTTGAAAGGTTAACAAACACCTGTCCTGTAATGGCGCGAATTTGGTTGTTAGAGAGGTCCAACCCACTGAGCTTGTGAAGTCCTTCGAACGTGTTTTCGGCCAGTACCACTATCTTATTGTTATTTATGCTTATAATTTCCGCATTATCCAGACCCTTCAGAGCGCCTGTAATGGTAGACAGAACGTTGTTATCGAGCAGGAGCATGTAAATCTTACTGAAAGCCGAAAGTGCTCCGGGCTCAATGACAGAAATGTTGTTGTTCTGTAACTGGATTTGTGTCGCTCCTTGTGGAGCATCGAACACGCCTTTCCTGATGTCCCGGATGCGATTGTTTTCCAAGCTGAAGACGATAGAGTTGGACAGGTTGGAGAAAGCTCCCACTTCTATGGTCTCGATCTCGTTGTTGCCGAGCCTTACCGCCTAGAACAGAAGAATGGAGCTTGGCAGGTCCTATGTATATGTCTGGTGTCGTTGATCATATATTATCGTATAGCCGGGAGGCGTCGACCAATGAGAAGCCTAAATGTCCTATCGGTTATCAAGCCATAACATCATAAGTGGTGAATAATGAAAAGAGTGATCGGTTATAAAAATAACCAACCACTTTTTGGACCGTACCATTATATAGGGGACAGGGCTAGTAGTATTTATACATATTGTAGTTTATCTTCCACTTCATAAACCACTTCATAAAGCACCTCGCTCGCTACGCTCACTCGGTGTTTTTTTCGGTGGTTATTGCAACTGACCAGGCATTACTTCACCATATACACCTCGGGGCGGGGCATTAATCCTTTTTTTTTTTTGGCGTTAGTCCGATCATTATCAGTCTACTTAAAGGAGAAGTACTAAAGTATCATAATAATTATATTATCCAAGTGACAGTATTTGTTGGATACATCATAGAACCATACAGAAGGTTAAAACATACCTGTAAGCTTGCCAAGTCATTAAAAACTCCCTTCTGTATTTTAGTCAGCTTATTTCTATCTGCAACCACACTCTGTAGCTGCCCACAGCCCCTGAAGACACCCGGGGGGAGGTCGGATATTTGGTTGCTGCCGATCTCGATGTCCACAATCGCTGGAACATCGTCAAAGGCGCCGACCTCGATGGTTTGTAGTTTGTTGTTGAAGAGATACAAGGTTTTCAGTAGCGGGAGACCGGCCAGATCGCCTTTCCGTACCACACGGAGTTCCGTACCTGAGTTAGGGTAGTACAATTACCACATTTTCCCATATTAAACATAAAGTGTCAAGAATTATTTTTGGATAGATGTTTTATAGAAAATACAATGGCAGTTTCATGTGCCATTTCTTCATAGAAGACAAAAATCTTGAGTTATATTGTGTCTATTCAATATACTTAATATACAAGTATTCGTGAATTTACAACCATGTTTGTATGAACAATGTGCGTATGTGAGCCCCAAAGACAACCTGTCCCAACCACGATAGACACGATACAAGGCTACCAAATCATTTGATCGTAGTTATTGTTGAATTTTTGAATCCATACCTTTCATCTGCAGGAGAGTAGTGTTACTCGGGATGCCTTTAGGAATATGGTCCAGAGTCGGGATGTTGCATTGTACTGTGGGTACATCGCCGAAACATGTACATTCTGGAGGGCAGGCGTGCACAGCATCAATCAATGCCACAAGAACGCAAAGGAATGTCCACCACATTTCAAACAAGGTGCCTGTTCCTGGATGGAAGAAAACTTGACATTCACAAAGTGTGTATTTTGTAGGAATCTATTAATGGCAAAAGAAAGAAACAAATCCATCTACCCCCACTGGTTGACAGTTATCAGCGACCACTTTCTCAACTTTGCTAATTAATAATTAGAAGGTATAGCGAAGCGTTAGTCATACTAAAAAACACAAACTCATGAAACTCATTTCAGAATAGCGACAACTTGAAGGTCAACAGTATGCCAATCTCGATCATAGTTCATTGTCACGATATAAAAGGTCGCTAACAGGTGACATATTTGTTACAACGAGTGAGCAACAAGCACTGATTGTACTATTCAATGATCACATACGTTACCTGTGATAAAGTAGGTGTAAAATCTACCCACAGGAATGCTCTGTTCCAGATGTGTGGAGAAAATAAACACAGTCCAAAGGTTCTCCTAGCGCAGCTGGTCGTATACGCGTAGCTAGTACGGAGTCCAATTAAGTCCGATCGCCACTTAAAACATTGGTACGAGACCACTTGTTGTCTGTTGTTGCATACAGGAAGTATGTGTACCGGTCGAGGCGGTGTAAACATGGGGCCTTCCTATATTTTCATGTTAAGCATTATTATTTGTGGCATTTTGGTGCTGCCTTGTGAGGGATGTGGGCTCACTACTCATACTGAAATAGGTGGGACTACCCTTTCCTACCCCTTCATGGTAATTTTACAGTACAGAGCCGGTGATAGATAGACACCGCGAAGTGACCGGAGTCCTTTACGGAAGGACGGAACTTTAACCCCGGACTCTGACCCTTGCCGAATAAGTCGAGTTTTCGATTATAAGTCCAGTTTTTAATTAGTTCCTTACAATTAGGGCAGAAATATTACGCACTTACTGAAAAGATCATTATATTGTGACATCCAGGAACTACGATGTAAATCTGTTCATGCTTGTTTCAAAAAGAGAATCTTGTAGACAAAGACGTAGGACAGTAATGTAGCACTTGTTCCTCCTATCCTTATACATGTACCTCAGTTATCCAACTTAGTGCATTTGGCCCATGTAGGGCGTGAATACGTATGCAATAAAGTTCATTGTCATTGTCATTATATTATAAACTTCAGTAATTTACGATCGCGGCGGAAGGTACAACCCAACCAGATTGAATCAAAACATATTTCTTATCTTGCAGGTCACAGGGCCATGCTCAACTTTAAAAGCACGTCTAAGAAGATGGACTACAACCAGGTGACGAGTCCTGTCATAATGTAGCTGCAATTATTGTCACATGTCAGACACTATGTAATTGACGTTTGTATGAGCAAAATCGGAATGGACTAACGTTTATCTATCTCCTACCAAGGAGTCTTAAAATTCCGTTGGCATATACCCGTCGAAGACAGCAAATTTTTATGTTTTTTTTTTCTCAACATCATGTCCAGCTGCTACTGAAGCATCAAGACGCGTTCCAGGCCGGTAACGTTTATCCTGACTCCTACTATGATTCAATATGTCGGAAAGGTGAGTAACGTGTTACCACTTCTATGTAACTGATGTTTGCACAATTTAATATAGTACAAAAATACTGAGGCTTTAATGACACCTGTTTATCATTATACTTGTATACAGCCTCGTAAACATAAGCGGTAAGCATAAACAATAAACATAAACAACAAACATAAACAATAAATATAAAAAAATGAAAATAAACATAAGCAATAAGCATCAACAATAAACATAAGCAATAAAAATAAACAATAAACAAAAACATAGACATTCCTGTTCTGTTGTGTTTTATGGCCTTTTATATCTGATGTTTCGCCTGTATGAAACAACAGTTTAACTGAATTTTGAATTTCCCTGTGACTAGGGAAGTACCACAGTGTATCTGAGGACACCCATTGGTCCGAGTTCCTCAACGTCACCATCAACCACATCCGGCGGAAATACCCCCCGCCATGGAATGAGGTGATTTTCTCTCTTCAATATACATGTACATGTATTTGGTTTTACCATCACATAGGTCACACCACCCACATCCATAAATCTACCACAACGTGACAACATGAATGTATGGTGTGAACAAGCACTTTTCACTGCCATAGTTACAACATGACCAGCACTCTTGGTCTATTTCTTAATTAACACGTAACACTTTGTAGTTTAGGTAAAGAAGACGAAGTTAATTTTACCGCAGATTGCCCTTTTTATGATAGAATCATTATTTTCACTTCTGTGTTGAGTAAATCCCCCCAGTTCAAATATTTGAATAGTACAGAGAAATTTATATTCCTTATAGCCCTCGACAAACCAACCCCAACTAATCATACAGCCTCCTATATATCCACTATTATATTACTAAGAAGCGAGAGGAAACTGAATGTAACAGAGTATACTAGTACTAGTTTATATATATACACTATATTATAATAATTTATATATACTAGTTTATATAGTTCATGTATATGCTTGTCAGCATGTGACCTGTATTAAGCCTAGTCTGACAACAATGTACAATAAAGGTCTTCATTCACTATAAAACAGGCTACAGAGAAGCTGGTGGTGTTCCTGTTGGGGATAGTGTCACACCAAGTAGCAGACATCTCATGGCACAGCCTGGGGATAGACCAGGGCTTCCTGAGCACCATGGGTGACGTCAACTTCCACGGATCCTTCAGCAGCGCCCATAGCGTGGGAGATCCCGGTGAGCCTACATGGATATGCATGAATAATGCAAATTAGGTCATGACTTGAATAGATTATGTTAATTGGTGTTCTTTTAGGTTAAGTTGATCTTCGTAGTAAAGGCATCCAATGCAATTTTAGGGACGCAACATTTTACGGTTATCGTTGTAATGTATTAAGTTGAATCAATCCTGTCCCATAGCATACTGATATCTGTGAGGCAAAAATGTGATGTCACTGATGGAAAACGGCTGATTTTTTTATATTGTAGCCTGGTTCTAGCTATTTATGGGTGCTATCCAGAGCAACGTAAGAGATGCGTCATGTTGTTTGGGGTTATTTCAAATCCTTCAAGTATGAAATGATGACAAAAATGGTGAACTAAGAATGAACCAACAGTTGATAAGAATGAGGCAACAGTTGATGGAATATCGTCATGGTTCACTGAGAATAGAGAACTAAGAATGAGCCAACAGTTGATTGAATGCCGTCGTGTACAATATGTCACAGGAGGTGACGTTGTTGGAACATTTGAGTGGGACTTGGACTACATCCACACCGTCTCGGATTGGTGAGTGAACTCAGATCTTGCTTCTCGTTTATATGTCGTTTGTTTAACCCGAGATATCAACTTTTACACAGATAGAATCTTCTGCCCATTATGAAACAGATCAGAAACACTGTTTCTTTCGGCATACCTTCCTGACCCTAAATTTCCCAGTGTATTTAACCAACAGTGTTCTTTTGCTTCCTTGTTCTTTGTTTATTTATCCATGACAAACTTATCGCCAGACTCTGAAGCGCTTTCAAAGTATTCCTGGGGGGGGGTATCCCCACAATAAAATAACAAATCATTATAACAAATGCGTTTAAAGTTAAAACTTTCTATCCAGCACAAAAAGTTCTCTCACCCGGAGCTTTTGACCAGTCACTCTGGTCTTCCTCAGTATACTGATTCAGTGAGGCTTGTCACATGGCTTCTTTGAAGTGTGACGTCAGCACTGGGTTAAAGGTATCTGGTTGACGATTATAATATAATAAAAGTAAACCAAAACAAATCGAGAAACAAATCAGCCCTCACGAACAAACATTATGCTAGTTGCTCCCTGTATGTACCAGGTATGTTCCTGTCCAGGACCTTGTGGACATCTACAGGGAGTTTTATGGGAAACCCATCATGGATGCGTCTATCGTTGAAGAGTGCACGGCCATAATGTTTCTCGCAAGGTAGGATAGATAACAGTATATAACTACCGAGAAAATATTGTCTGGCTACGATCCTGGTTAGTTTACGTCTGCTTTGATAAGCGCTAGTCACTGACAATCAAGCTGATGTATGGATTTATAACCTGGCTACAGTTTTTACTGTTAGGGACAGGACTTTGACAGTACTATTCAACGGTTTTACTGTGTCAGTGCTTTAAGTGGCAGAAATCTGATTATGCAAAAAAAGAAAACTTTGAACAGCTCGTTTATGGTGCTTTAAAGATGTCAGGATTTTCAGAATATGAGAGTGTGGATAATTAATAGTTATGGACAGTATTGTTACAGTTTTGTCATGAAAAACAAGAGATCATTAGAATTTTAGACAAGGTATGAACCCGGCCCGTTGAGTTGTGATGAATGTGTACTTGAGACTACCTCCCAAACAGTCATCATTATCATATTTGATTTTGTTTTTCTATACTACAGATTAGGGGAGAGGCTGGTATTTTCAAAGGTGAGTTAGCGGTTAGAAATAGTCAATTGAATTCAACATTACGTACTTCACAAAGACAACGCATAAACCAAAATTGCCTACAACGTTTGTTTGTGTATTAATGTAGCTGATATTGAATCAATGTATCGACGTTGAAGACCTGTTGGGCTCTTGTCGTCTTGCTAGACGGTCTACAGCTTCCGTCAGTTAGTCTAGCAGTTCTAGTTGCGCAGCGCCTCACATGGCTGGTACGGCTTATACTATTCCGGTAGACTCTGCGGCAGAATCTGCAACTCTGCCGCAGATATCAGCAACTCTGCCGCAGATATCAGCAACTCTGCCGCAGAATCTACAACTCTGCGGCTGAAGCTGCACCTCTGCCGCAGAATCTACAACTCTGCCGCAGATATCTGCAACTCTGCTGCAGAATCTACAACTGTGCCACAGAATCTACAACTCTGCCATAGAATCTACAACTCTGCCACAGAATCTACAACTCTGCCGCATAATCTACAACTCTGCTGCAGAATCTACAACTCTGCGGCAGAAGCTGCAACTCTGCCGCAGAATCTACAACTCTGTCGCAGAATCTGCAACTCTACCGCAGAATCTACAACTCTCAGAATCTGCAACAGAACCTCTGGCTGGTATTCTTCTCTTCTGGGGGGTCTCTTCCGTCTGTTTCTTGCCATCTTACTTTCTCTGGCATCTGTAAACAGTCCCATACCAATAGACCAATTGAAGACTTCTATGTGGCTATTAAAGTATGTTTCGCCCTGTCTATGTCTCAGTTGTTTCCGGAGCTCTCCCGAACCTCTCCGTTCCTGATTGAGGAGTTCCAGTCGTACTTCCTGGGCGGGGTGGATGACATGGCCGTGTGGACAGCCAACATCTGGCACCACGCTATTCACATGCTGGACAACGGGATGAGGTGTGTCCCTTACTAGCCTGACTGAACCTCATTTTTTTCCGGATTCCCAAAACGCCCGCCACTCACCTTGGAGTGCCAGCTCTTTGAGCGCCGGACAAAAAGCTTGTGTTCACAGGCTAGTCCCTTGTTATCTGAAATTTGACTAGTAAAATGCAAAAAAATGACATTTCAGAGAGTTAAGATTTGAATTTTAGCATGGTAGGTGTGGCCTAAATTTGGTCAGATAGCTCTCAAACGTCAGCCAGCCGAAGTCAGCTGGTGGTTGGGGGAGGGTACTGACTGTGAGAGGGGGCTTGTGGAGTTGCGATTTATTTGGACTGCTTCATCGAAGATTTGTGAAAAATACGCCAAAGTGATCACAATTCCCCCGAATGATAGCCTTAACTGCATATGATGCAACGCATATGCCCACTGCGTTGTTCTTTTTTCCCGCAAGATATAGGGTCTATACTGTATTCATTTTACATTACAGTGCATGTTCGGTGCCCCACAACCCACTTTACATCAGATGCAATGCCGATCACATGCCAGCCACTCGAAAGTAAGTTACAAATTCCTACCACCTTCCCTGTCCTTGGTGCTGATTTGTGCTCTCAGAGCTAAACTTTCCCTGTCCTTAGTGCTGATTTGTGTTCTCATAGCTAGCTACACTTTCCCTGTCCTTGGCGCTGATTTGTGTTCTCATAGCTACACTTTCCCTGTCCTTGGTGATGATTTGTGATCTCATAACTACACTTTCCATTCTACTTAGCAGACAACAACAAAACATCTGACCAAATATTTTGAATGAACCTTGACTTCTGATTTTTTTGTTAGTGACAGGAATAAGAACGGATTTTACATGCGGCCCAACATCGGTGACCTCACTCTAGCTGACGTCTCGGTGACGAGAACGGACAGAGGGGTCTACTTCCGGCCTGGGCAAAGGCTAAAGGTCAGCAAAATCATTACATGCGTGTTCTGTATCTGTATCTGTGTCTGTTTCGGTATAGCCCGTATAACCGCCCTTTGGCGTAACACACCAGCTTCGCAGGCACGTGGCACGGCAGCAGCTAGCTATATCACACCGAGCGACTTGTTACACTCAACCTTTGCACATTTGAATTGCAGGAGTTGTTTAAAGCTTTCTAGTCATGATGCCCCAACTGTGCTTGGTGGCAACAAGGAGGTTACCTTCTTTGTGGCAACAAGTTCCTCTCTGCGATAGTTGTTTTTTTGTTGACATGACTGTTTCTTGTTTTTTTCTGGGCTGTTATCAGGTACTTTGTGGTTGATACGTCCAACTGTTTATTTGTCATTTTGTACATCATGTATAGTCTGGACATTTTTGTTATATGTAAAAACTGCCAACAGGAGATATGAAATTGTGCCTGTACGTAACCCAGTGGGTATATGCGTACAACAAAGGTCTTCATTGTATGTAATAGACTTCGTTTTATCTTTATTGAATCTACAGGACAGACTGTTGGCCTTTAAAAAGTCATCACTTCTAAACTACAGGGAAGGATTTCATGATGACACCAGTAATGACTTCGGTTTGACGTCTCCAGATGCAACCTATACAAGCAGCATGCCGTATGCCCGGCTTGGCTGGTAGGTGTGGTTTTAATTCTCCTCATCCTGTGTTAGCAAGAATACACGTGTTTTTAAGATTCGTCATGCTGCAGCCGTTTATAGAACATTCAATACTTTTGGGCTTGTTTAGCATCTAAAGTTACCTGGTATGAGCGTGTTGATCGTCCTTGGGTTGTTCATGTTGCATATGTAACAGCTTGTACCTTAGGTTTGCACTGTAAAACACGTAATTGGTACAAGCTCACCACCTACAGCTGTGGAAATGAACTGCAATTTTTTTTTTAAACCGGACCGCGCGGACTGCAGACTGATTGGTATTTCTAAAGGGAAAGTGGTAAAAACATTAGAGAAGTGAACTATATCTCACACAGTACACAAAACAGCAACTGGGTATGATGTCAGACTGACCTTGTTCATTGAACTTTATTCAATATAAAATAACGTACACCTCATAATGCGTTTCGTATTATATACTATAAGTCCATTTCAAGTAAAAAAATCTGCATGTAAGTGAGATATATATTGGGTGTTATAATTCTAGTACAATATTAGAGTAAAGTCTCCATTAATTACACGTACGAATCAAATTCTATGAAGGTTTCATATACAAGAAAGTAAAATTATCATGCACTTATATATTTTGTGTGCAGAACTCACCAGAACTTGCCAAGCTTATAAAGTACAATGTATGGCAACAACTTTTTAACATCATAGCAGAAAAAAAGTATATAATAAAACTAAACATCCTAATTACTAGAACAACAAGCATGATATTTATGCATATGTATGTTGGCTGTTCATAGGTCAAGACCACTATTACTCTCATTATGACTTTCTTCTACCATTGACTGCCATTGGAAATACTCGATCCTACACTTATAAAGTCTATCGATTATTTCATAAATGCGATCAAAAACATAAGGACTGTGGTAAAAATACTGATAAAGCGGTCGGTTGTGTGGATGCCCACGGCTTGTCCAGTCGGCGGTGTGGTCAGCGGTTGCCTCGCGGTAACGTTGAGAACCACCCCGGCCTCGGCTGTCCCAAAGGCGTTCACCGCCATGCAGGTGTAGCGACCCGCGTCTCCGGGAGTGACGACCGGGATCACGAGCGTGCCGTCCGCCTGGACGTACATGTCCGGGAATTCGGACTGGGAGGTGAGAAAGAGCCCTCTAGCGGCTGTCCACAGTACTGCAGCGTCTGGGCAGGCATTGACCTGTAGTAGATGTGAATATGTTTGTGTTTGAGGCATAATGAATGCAATATTAAGGTATATTAAAGTTTTTACCGAAGCCAGTACGCCTTAGACTGGTGTCCAGTCTTACGTGTGGTTGGGGCATAGTAGTTGGGGTAGGCTGTGTCTTCGGGGATCTAACAGTTTCCCCCCGCCCAGTACAACAGGCCGCCCAGTAGGAGCATTACGCTAATAGAGATGGCACGCCGGAGGAGTTGATTTGCACCACCACGAGGTGGTAGGGCTAATCAATCTCCCATCCTGAAATACACACCGGGAAACCTAGCTGAGCCGGGCGGGGAAGAGCTCAAGTAGCCCCGAGAAAAAACCCGCTCCAACCACGATAAGACTGGATACCAGGCTAAGTACGCCTTTGTGGCATGACAATATTTGAAGAATACCTTGCATCGCAGAAGCGCCCTTTCTCCAATCGGCACCTCAGTCGTGCTTCCTCCAGTGTCAATCCGGGGTATTTCCTCCGCCCCACAGCTGCAGTTCAGCTGATTGGTCGCCAGGTCGCGCACCACACGTCCCTCCAGGGCCGGCGGGGAGATGCAATGGAACTCTGGGATCGCGGACACCTTTGCAATGGAATTTGTACAACTGTTAGGACGTTGCAACACCAAAAAAGGCGAACATTTGCTCATTCCATCTCTCTCCCCATAAAATGTATTGTTCCGCACTCACGCCTGTGCAAATTTATAAAAAAAAGTAGAATATTACAAAATAACGTCTGCAAAGCGAGTTATTTGCCAAGTTATCCAAGTTTAAAATAGAGCCTTTCCAATTTGACCCCAATTCAAAAATGTTCCATCTTCCATCGGCCAAATTTCAGATCGTTTGGCCCGTTTGGCCCCAAAATGAAGAAATTGATAGCCTCTACCAGGCTTCCAGACGGGTGCGGCAAAATGTACTCTCTAGCAGGCCAACTCCCTAGGCATGTTATCTCTCCATCTGACCTATTTCTACTCTTTCCAGCCGTCTCCGAAGCCTGGTAGAGACTAAAAATTGAATCTATTAAAAGAAATGGCAGAAGAATGAGAAACATGAGTGAAAACAATATTTCAATCCATACTTATGCTATGGACTGAAATAAAAACATCTTTACAACTTTGGAAACCGACATGATACCGTTGCTACAAGAAGATTTGTAAGCAGTTTGTGCTCAATTTAGAAAGCTAATCGAACAAGGTTTACTTATACATGTAAACAGCTTTTACTTCAAAGCAGAAACCGGAAACTAATTTGTTCCAGCCCAAACTCTGGAAAACCCCGTTCACGTGCATGGCGCATGTCTACTCAACTTCTATCCAATCACAGCCCCCCCCCCCAATTGTATATGCTCATGCTCTTTCACACGAAAATTTTCCTCTCACGTTTGGTGTCTTGAGCCATGCGGCGAAGCCTGCCAACTGGCAGTCACACACCCACGGGTTCCCGGCTAACTCCAGGGTTTCATAGTCCTTGTAAGAGGTTAGAGGTTGGAAGACGGTCTCGGGAAGGTACTGCAGGTGGTTGTTGCTCAGTGTGAGGCGGTTGACCTGCGGGGAACTGTTGAAGGCAGCTCCGTCTGAAGTGCAGACATCAAAAATGCATTCCTCATCAAACAAGCGCGATGACTTTATAACTTTCCATGCAAAGACGAAATGTTGAGAATATGTCCCACGTGCTTACTGTACATTAGTTTACGATGACACAAAAACACCTTTTTAACCCAAGCATTTTTCTTGGTGGCCGTGTCGAATGTAACATTAATAAAGCATTTTCTTAGGTATTGTCATTATAGTTTTTGCTTCATCGCCTGCCCCTACAACTTTGTTTATTTATTCATCTTTGGAGCAGAAAACGGCTGATTTCTAAGGTAGCCCATGAAAAACAGTATCATAGTTTATTACGGGAATACAAGTAAATCTATTTGCAATAGAAACTCAAAACCATAATCATAATACAACGATGATCAGTCAGTGGTACTAGTATTTGAGATGGCCAGAGTGCGAATACCAAATAATACAAACTTTAGCAATAATAGAACATTGAGTAGTAAGAATTGAACATATAGGCTAATAAATCATGTAAATTATATTAAACAATCAAACAACTAAACAAAAGTATTAAAGCCATAGCAGGTTGTCGGCCTTTTTTCTATGGTCAGAATCGTTCTGATTTCAGATAACTGAATTGTAACTAAAACTGGCAAAATGGTTTACATCGTACACACCTATGATTCTCAGCTTGGTGTCTTGAAGCTTAACTTCAGTGAGTTGAGGTCCGAAGGCGTCTGGTCCAACATACACGATCGGGTTGTCTGACAGCACCAGGCTTCGGAGTGAAGACATGTTCGCCAGGGCCTCACGTGAAACTGTGGTCAGCTTGTTGGCGCTGGAATGATAACGATACATTATTTATTGACACATCAAAAGTAAAGCGACTTTCGTAAGGTCTATGACTTAAACATACAGACAAAACACGTGGATACCACAGAATTTAATAACGTACAAGACTAAAGCATTCTTTGATATATTTACCTATTTGTACACAGTAAGGGTTATGTCCTTGTAGAATGTAGTATGATTTATCTCTTTATCATGAAATGTAACAAATTCTGTTGAGCAAGCGAAAAGAAGGCTGACCATCTTTCAGTCTTTTGACGTTTTTTTCATTAATTACATGTCTCTCTTGACAGCATGATACATATATCGCACACAATCATGTCCCACCTCCAAAATAGCAAGGCATGTATGTATGACAACTGTTTCTGTCACAACTCAGTGTAAAACGACAACTGCTGGCAAGTTAACGAAAATTCCTACCTAAGATCCAGTTCTTGAACATTTGTCATGTTGTCAAAATCTCCGGATTCCAAAGTGGTGAGCTCGTTTCCGGACAGGTCCAGATACACCAGCTGCCCGACGTGCCGTAAGGCGCTGGTCGGGACTCGGATCAGGTTGTTGCTTCCCAAGGCCAGATACGTGATGTTGTCAAGTCCCTTAAACACATTCGGATCAACTTGCCCTCCTTCCATAAAATATTTAATCCCAGCCAACTTGATAGTTTTAAACTGCTTAAGCTCAACAAATCTTCGTTTCGTATCAAACTAATCGGGTTGAAGGACAGGTAGAGTGCCCGTATTTGGTCCATGTTAGTAGTTGGGATTCCGGTCAGAGCGTTTGACGCGAGAGAGAGAGTCTGTAGTCCACGTGGCAGGCGCGCCCCCATGCGGTGGATCTTATTATTGTTCAGCTCCAGGTAGGCCAGATTGTTCAAGTTTGCAAACCCCTCACCGACTTACAGTTTCCAGTTTGTTTCCCGAAAGGTATAGCATACTTAGGCTCAACAATCCGTAGAATGTGTCATTTCCAATGTCACTGATTTCGTTGTCTTCAAGGTACAGTTTTTGTTAAGCTTGACAGATCACCGAACACTCTTCCAGCGATGGTGGAGATTTTGTTTTTCTTCAGATTCAACTCTCGCAGTTTTGTCAACCCTGAAAAGTCCCCTTCATTCAAAGCCAATATGCTGTTGTTGTGGGCGTCTACCTCAGTCACCTCACGCAGACCTTCAAACACGCCTTGTAGAGTAGAGATGCGGTTGCTGTAGATATAAAGACTGGTCAGGCTCACGAAACTTGACAAAGCTCCCGGCTCTATGATCGAAATGTTATTTTCATGTAACGACAGCGAAGTCGCTCCCTGTGGACTGCCGAACGTTCCGTTCACAACCCTGGTTAATCTGTTCGCTGCAAAGTTGAAGAACTCCACGCTGGACAGGTTGGAGAAGGCGCCCACTGCCATGGTGTTGATCGTGTTCTCGTAAAGTCGCACGACCTGTAAACATAGAAATAATTGTCCGTAAATAGTTTCATCAGGTTGGTAAGTTACTAAGTAAAGAGACTCTTTTTGTACACAACCAATTGTTTTATTCACACCGCATTGTGAAGTCTGTTCCCAGTGACCGCTGTTTGTTTTTTAATAACTGACCACAATTTATGTATTATCCAACTCTTGTACGTTTGGGACTGCATTGTAAATTTGCAAGGATAAGTTGTCATTATACATACCCAAAGACTAGGCAGCCCGTTGAACACTCCAGCTGGTATGGACGTGATCTTGTTCGCCCTCATGTCTAATTCTCTCAGGCTGTTCAGGCCCCTGAAAACTCCCGGAGAAACTTCCGAAATCTTGTTGTTATAGACTGCGAGAACCTCGAGATCTGGATTGTTGTCGAAGGCTCCGACTTGTATGGTCTGGACCTGGTTATCATACAGGTACAGGGTACGGAGGAGGGGCAGTCCTGACAGGTCTCCCTGTCTCACAGATACAAGCCGAGTACCTGGATGGTAAGAGTAAGAGAATAAACGAGTGCACTAGGTTTATGTCATTACATTCCCCTTGAAGGTGAATATGTTGTTGGTAGCGTGTATGTGTGGGCATGTCTATCTGTAACAAAATATGTAATGCTATATCTTTGTAGCCGGTATAACTACGTTCCAATATTTCTTTTTGCAGCTTATGGCATATATTTGCTCATGTTGCAACTGTTTTGTACCATTTACAGTATTGTTCAAACCTTTTTTTTTAAATGGCCGAAAATTCATGCGCGCGTCGATGACATCCATATAATCAAATCAACATGGCCTTACATACCCACTTGCCTACATTGTATAGAAATCCTACTCTATAGCCATACCTTTCATCTGAAACGTCATCGTGTTGTTCGGGATGCCTTGTGGGATATGTTCCAACGTGGGTCGGTCGCAATGCACTGTGGGAACGCCACCGACCGCTATGACACACAGACACTCGGACGGACAGGCGTGGGCCGGTATCAGGGTCAACAGACTCATTACCCAGAACAGCAGCATTTTCACTGAGTGTGACTTCTGTGGACAAAATGACAATCTTACTCAAGCAAGGACGTTTTATGCTCCAAGGCATGAAATACAAATTTTAGTACTTCGGCTTACATTTTGTGTTGTACCTCTTGTAGCACATTGTAATTTTGTAATATCAAATTACCTTGGCATAGACAAGGGGACATTATAACAATGTTGCCAATATGGCGGTTTTTGGAGGGATTACAAAACAAGATAGGCAAATATTATTGAGAGGCAAAGAAGTAAATAAACAGTTTTCCAAGAGATGTTCGGGTATCTCGTACTGTCTGTAGTGCTTACATATAGGTCAGTCCTAAGGACTACATGTATATTCAGTGGTTGTCCAAAAATGCTGTTGTCGTTTCTATTTGGGGAAGCTAGAATCACTAGTGACGTTCCTAGCCTTGTGTCCAGTCTGTCGTGGTTAGGGCGGTTTCTCTTCGGGGCTGCAGGAGCTCTTAAGTGTAATCCTTAAGTGTAATCAGTAATCCTGCAAGTGTAACACTCCCACCGGGTGACCAGTTGAACTGGGCGGGAGAAAGACTATTAGAGCCCCGAAGAGAGACCGCCCTAACCACGATAGACTGGAAACCATGACGCACGTACCTCCTGAACAGCGAACTGCGTCCCTAACGTCTGTGGAAGCCCTGCAGTCTTCCCTGCTTCTAGCCCTTCTTCCCAAATACTGAATAGCTATGTGTACCCAAAGCCGACATAGCTGCTGTAACGTGGCCGCGAGTCACCCGATGCAATTAGTCCCCGTGTGTGCGCTCTTTCGCTGCACGTTTTGGACAGATGCCTTTGCCTGAAGGTAGAAGAACCGGTCCAGTAGGTAGATATTATGACGTCAGTGTATTATACTCGACCAGTAGTCACGTGATGGCCTGTGGTCTCCGACCTTTTTCCGCCTAATTAACCCATTAAACAGGGACTTCTCAGAATAGCTGGGCACAATTATTTGTTTAACTACTTGGACAGGATAGAACCTTTTTTTAATCCAAGAACAGTTAAATATATGGCCATGAGAATATTCATCTGCTGGTCGAATTTTGCCTGGGGACATTTTACATGTTTCTCTTGACATTGTTACGTTATGGGGATGGGTAGGAGGTATCTGTCTGTACAGGTCTTGAAACAATATCAATAGGCTGAAGTTTCGATGACAAGAAACAGGTAACTATCTGACAGAAGGTTGTTGTACAACGTAGTTAAAAAGGACTTGCAAGTGCTGTGTGCAACGAACATTCACAATTTGACAGCTTACACGTATGCCAATAGTTATTTCATAGGTTACCTACCCCTTTGCCTGCATAAAGCTGACAGGCGTCCCAATGCAGATACAAGTGTCTGCCTCTAATGTACTGTACGTAGGGTCACCACATTGCTCTAACATATGAACAGACTTTTTGTTTTGCGATGAAATTTTATCTCATATTAGTATTCCTACACTCTAAAGAAGAATGTTGAATGCTACTTTTCCCCTGAGCCCTCTATAAGAAGCCGAACCATCTAAATTATTTAACACCACTCCATGCCAACATTCGATTATCTCAAACAGGTCTCTCACATCCGGGGACCTGGATGGCGACGGCCAGCCTGACCTCGTGATTGGTTCTCCTGGATACGGTTCCCCTGGCAACCAACAACATGGCGCCGTTTACGTCATCTACTCTACGAGAGACGGTCAACTACCGATCAGGGACCTTGATGTCGACAAAGAAGCCAACATTACTTTATTTGGCAAAGAGGTTGGTAATTCAGTACAATATAGATTAGTGTCGTTGTGTTAGCCAGCAGATTTTCAAAGTCAATTTTGTAATCATTCTTTTACTGTGGTAAGTTTAATTTCCATCCTATCCCGTAACATATTGATATCTGTTAAGCAAAAATGCGATGTCGCTGACGAAAAACGGTTGCTTCTTTTGTATCGTAGGCTGGTTCTAGCTATTTATAATTTATGGGTGGTACCAAAAAATAAAGAGACGAAAAACGTAGCTTGTTTAGGGGCTCAAGCACTTCCAATATGAAATGATGATGAAAATTTATTATGAAATGACAGTAAATATCAATATAAGATTTTCTTGTGAAGACTTTCCTGTCGCCTTGAAATTACATTCAATTTGGTTGCCTTTAATGGGACCTTGTTATCTGTTCGGCTATTCAATTCTTTGTCACTGGACCATTTAAAACACGATAGATGAATGAGTAAATGCTATTCAATATACTGTTAATGCACTGTCGCTTCTGTACATGTAGGATAATCTCATTTGAACATGTATCACTCTTCAGCCCAACGGTCGGTTTGGCTCCGCAGTCGCCGTGGTGGACCTGAACAAGGATGGGGTGAATGACCTCGCGGTCAGTGCACCTTCTGTTGGATCGCCCTTCCTCAACTACACGGTAAGATGATGTTAAAGCTGCATTATGTAACATTAAGACGATAAAAAGTAAATTTTCTTCGCACTAGTCAGTTGAATCAACATCACTCCGCTGCAAATAAGTGCCATTCAGGAAGTGGAGGTGCCAAAATACGACGCCTTACCAGTGTGTTTTAAAGCTTGAAACACAGCTGTCAGCCTTGTTTGTTTACATGTTTGTGACACCACAAACTGACTGCGCCTCGTGTGGGCTGTTTTAATGCCAACCATAAATGCCAGAAATGCGGGATAATTTCCCTAATATGTTGTAGATTAGAAGTAAATTACAATCACAAAAAGATTTTTTTCGATTAAAATACTTCAATTTTTGACGTACATTGTGCCCCTTTATAGAAAACATGAACTTAAACGAAAAGTGCCATCTATTCTATTACACTCATTTTTCAACTGTGTGACGAACACTAAATATTTTGTAAACTGTTTAATTACGTAAACTGTTTAATGACGTAATTTTCCTGTTTGAATTTCAGGGAGAAGTCTATGTGTATCTTGGACCTCTGAAGGCGGGGTTCTCAACACAAGAACCAAGTATTCGTCTGACGTGCAAGGTTTTCAGATACTGTTTTCATTTACCTTTCACCCACCATCAAAGCAAATAGTTCCTCTATCCCACTCAAGTACACAAGTCAACATAGAAAAGTTGGCAATATGCTTACAATACTTTCAACTGGAAAATGCATGATCCAATCACATGATCCAATGTTTTAATATAATGTTTTATACAGTTTAAAGTAGTTATGTTTACGGAAGGACAACATTGTTTTTGCTCTGTTTCCTCTTCTTTTTCTCCAAACCAATAAGGTCAATGACCTGAACCAGGCGTCTGTCACCATGGTAACTAGTGTTGGGTTACATCATGTTACAATTTTAGAGCAGGAGGGATTTAGACTCCTGTCTGACCATATATGTGAACGTGTTTGAGTAAGAATTAACAGAGCAGACCATATGCGAAGGTAAACATTAATATGCATTTGCTTTAAAGTAATTTTACTTTCATCTAATAGTTTCTGGGTACGATTTATTATCAACGTTATTCTCACGTTTACATCATATGCAACCTTTGTCGCACACAGGAAGTATATTGTAACCTTGGCCTGACGCTGTCCGGAGAGGACATGAACCAGGACGGTGCCGCAGACCTGTTGATCGGGTCTCCGTTCGCCCCAGCAGGCGGGCAGCAGCGAGGCTTCGTGGGGCTGTTGTACGCCAAACACAGCATCAAAGGTAAATCCTCTGTCACACATAGCGGAATGTGGCCTTGCGAACACTAGCCGAACTTCTCACAACTATTAGAAGTAGGTCGGGAGCAAGTCGGCTGGTGTAGGTCAGAGACGTGGTTGTTAGTCACACACCTGATCCCAGTCGTATATAGAAAGGTAGGCTGGTGTTCGAAGGAAGCTGTGACAAGTGGTATTTTCCAATATTCATCTGGTGTCAATAAGGTTCATTCTTTTAGACCATCTTTCATCTAGTAGATGGCATAGATGACCGTATTTACGGCATTTATTGTACAGTTGCTGTCACATGATAACCCATCCTGCTACATATTAGGTCATACTCATATAGAATCCTTGATACTATGAATGGTTTCCCATTACATTTAGTAGAATACATTGCTTTATTCTTCACGTATGATCATAGCAAATCATGTTTTATGAACTAAAATTATAGACAAAATTATAACATGCAAAATCTACCTGATACTTTTTCAGATTCAAAGGTCCAGTTAACTGCCGACAGTCTTGATTGGAGAGTAAACGGCACTCAGGTACCATGATAAAAATGTTTTGGTCGCTGTAAATTTGTGGATATAATGTTTCTACTACTCTGAATAAGAAATTGAGAACTACCAAAATTCCAAATGACAAGATGGCTTTGAGGTTTGAGTCACTTTCTAGAGGCACGTGTCCGATATATAATCTTACTAAACTATCTCTTTCCTTAAATCATGATACAATGTATATGGTATGGTATGACTTGCACAAGGTACTGAAGACACACAATGTTGCTTTCTGTACCTGACACACATACGGTTTATAGTGCTGCACCTTTCTAATGGTATGGGCGCGCACATTACTTTGGCAGAAAAGTGCTTTAATAGCAGTGCAAAGATTATATCTGCTACCTTTATATCCCACAGGATTATGAATGGTTCGGGAGGCGCGTACGCGGGCTCCACCAGGAAGGGACGTCATCCAAGGTTCTGGTCGGATCTCCGACATGGCGTCATTGCGCAAGGTGAAATGATGTTGTCATTGGATACGGTATGATTCCTTGGGCCAAACTTGTCGTAGGAAGAAAGGGCACTCACTGTAGTTCAAGATTTTGACAGGTAACTGCCAATACATCACCCATTTGAAAAGAGATTGTGGATTTAACAATCTCCATGTAAGTATGCCTCGAAAAAAGCAATTGCTGAGTAATTTCGCTGATGAATTCTACATTTCTCACAGAATAATTAGTGTTTCGTCTTGACTAGACTGCCAAACTATCACACAGAGCCATGCCCCTACTCTTTTTCGAATGGTGTGGTGGGCTCTTTAGTGCTTTTAAAATAAATGGAGCTTCATAAGCGTTCCTATCTGTTGGTTTCGCAGAGAAAGTTGCTCGTACTCTGAAAACGACACACAGAGCGTCGGGCGAGTCTCCGTGTACGCCCCGCCATCTCTTCAACCTCAGGAGCAGTCGGTGGAAGGGACATCAGAGTTCGGCAAGTTTGGACAGGCAATCGCCACAGAGTCAACGCCGGCCAAAAACAACGCAGATCTGAAGATTGCATACGCGTCACCGACAGCAGGTGCGTGTCATGGTCGACTCGTTTGGTTGCAAAGTTATCCAGTTGTCAAGTATAAACAATACGTTTTGTGTCATATCTAAAGCCCGTGATTGTTACACATTCACGAATATAACCACCCGAACACAGGCCGAACTCCCCCCAACCATGGTTCGGAGTAGGTCGGAAGCAAGGTCGTCTGGTGTTCGGCCAGGTCGGCTACTGTGTGACTGCGCCAGTTGAATGTTTTAAAGTGTTATTGACATTTGGGGGTTGGTTTGAAGGTTCGACCACTGTTTCTTGGTATTCGGCTGTAAGTCAGCAGCAGAACGCCCGCCAACCATTAGGTAGTAACTTAGCAGTACTTGGGGCATGTTCGGGGGTCAAATGTGATTGAGACTAAAATTGAACTCAACTAGTTTTCGATTCGTATAGAAAGGTAGGCGTGACCTAAATCTGACCATACTGCTCCCGTGATCCCATACTTCAGACAACCGTGGTCCTGAATATATGAATGGGGATTATAAGAAAGAAAAAAATAAGTTGCTCGTTTTTCAGGGACGACCGGCACGTCCAGGGACCAGCGCGGCTCCGTTGTGGTGATAAACGCCAAAACAGGAGAGACCGTCACACGGCTGTGTGGAGATCGGGACTACTCTAGATTTGGATGGGACGTCGCTTTTGTTGACATAAACATGGACGGAAAAGGTGCGTTTTCTTTGTAAGAGCCAAAGTGATGCAGAAAAATCAAGCCTGTCTGTATATGTCCGATGGTGGTTACCTTCAGTAATTGCTTCGTTCATTTTCTAATTCTATTTCTTTGTCAGCATGAAAGCTCATCTGTTTTGGTAGTAATCATAGTAAACTGTGAACTTTATTCCGACACAAGGGTTACACAGAGATCAAATTAATACTAGTACTTAATGACCAATCACTTCCGAACGTATCCGTAAAGTCTCGTGTGAATAAGGTCACGTATCTGTAACTGTAACTCTCCCGAGATTGCGTTCGGAAGTGAATGGTCATCACTTATCCTGATGAAGGCAGCAGTGGTCGTTGAAAATTTGATCTCTGTGTAACCCTTCTGTTGGAGTAAAGTTCAACATTTTACTACTATTTATTTGTCGTTTTTAGGGATCCGTTTTCATGTGATTTCTAACAGAATCTTTCGAGTTCACTGGAAAAAGAGTACGTATTTTGTATCTGTCATGCGAATCTATTTCTGTGGTTGACTGTTATTTTTAATAAACAGACGAACTTCTAGTCAGCGCACCCCTGAGAACAGACGATCCCACCGAGGAGCTTTACGGGGGGGAGGAGGGTCGTGTCTACATCTACGAAGGAGAGACGTATTCTCACCAAACCGCGGAGGACTCTTGTCAGCAAGCCCAGGTATACTTTAATCTCCTTTTTTTGCAAAACCATGCCAAAAGGATAACTGCATGTATAGGATCAAAGAAGTAAAGTAAAGAACATACAACTACTGTCTGATAAACTTATGAGGATTGACTTCTTCTTTGAAGGCAGTGGATAGGGAATATTCTCACGTTCTGCATAACGAGTTGGTTCACCGATGTTAGTAGAAGAAGAAGGTTTTCGGTGATCATCTAGGTGATATTTTGGCAACTGTTTCAAATAATCTGTTTTTGTTGGTCTCCTAGTGAGTACACTGACTAATAAAATCATTAATCAAATAAAGACATTTACAAAACATTTACTACAAGCCAAATGGTACGTAATTGTTTCCTAGCCGCAAGGAAGTATCTGTAGATATAGTGCCTGAAACAGTAGATGTAGTGACTGATTTTTTTTCTTTCTTTCGTAATCGTAGACTCTCTCGACCCTTGGAACGGAAGAGGCGAAGTCCCAGTTCGGAAGCACCCTAGCGACTTTACGTTATCACGACAGGACAAACATCATCGTGTCTGCAGTCCACAGCTCCAAGACCGCCAGACTAGCTGGGGCTGTTCACGTCTTCACCATTTCTAAGACAGACAGTCGTTTGCCTTGAGGTTAAGCTTAAATAATATCTGATTAATTCAGGTAAGATGCAGTTATTACCAGAAGGATGTAATCTGAGTTTATAAATGTACAGTGCAATAAAGATGACAAACACATTTTTTCACGGAACGTACTTTTATTTGCATTCACTTCTTAAACTCTACTTGACGAAAGACATCAACATAGTATATGTGAGCATTACAAAAAGTGTGGCCCACACGTTGGTTTTTGCCCTGTCACCGGTGTTGGTAGAAGAAGTTGTAGATTGCCAATCATAAGGAGTTGTTTGCGTGCTCATGACATTCGTCGTTCCAGCGCGAGCTGTTGACATGTCGGCCGTTTCTGTCGTGCTCGTTTTGTCGGGTTCCGTCGAAGTCCCTTCCGCGGGTCTCGTCGTACTACCTTCGGTGGGCTCCTCCGTAGTCGCGCCCGCGTCGGTAGTGGTCTGAGGCCCGTTTGTGACCCTGAGACGAACCGTTGCCGTGGCCTTCCCGAGGTAGTTGACCGCCATGCAGCTGTAGGTGCCCGAGTCGTCTGATGACGCTGACACGACGACTAGACTCCCGTCTGACAGAACGTGGAGACCCGGATGTTGGGAGTCAGAGGTCAGACTCACGCCGGTAGGGGTCGTCCAGATGACCGCTGCTTCAGGGCAAGCCGTGACCTAAACGGAAGGATTTAGTGGACGTGCTGTTTCATAGCTATCTATTTTGAAGTTAAAAAGCCCATGCAATGTTGAACTAACATCCGCCACCCAAGTAACGAAATCGCCATGGCGCGTAACCATGCGAGCCCACATTGTATGTGAAGTGAAGGCGTGCCTGGATGCACGCCCCGGCAATTTAGTGATGTCTTACACGAATTATGTGCCTGTCTTCACGGTGGTAAAATCTGGGCTGCAAAGTTCCCAAATTTCATAGAATTCGAACTGTGTTCGATCGTGTTCGATCTGGGCAATTCGAATCGAACCCGCGTTCCATTTCGGGGTCACCTGCGGTCATTTGCAATAAAGCGGCAAAACAAGCCCTTTTGCCTGAGTGACTCGTAATAGATAAAAAACAACACTTTTCTATAAATACAAACAGTTTCCAGGATAGTACATGTCCGCTATCATTTTTTTGTGGACATGTAACATGTAGCGAAGCTACTGTCGTATCCTTGGGTGACCTTGAATACTGTAATGATTCTTTACGTCCTGTATGAATAACACAATGCACACTTTTGGGTAGATATGACATGTCTGCAAAACTCGTTCAAACCTGGAAACATGGAGAGTCTAACATACCCCATTTACGGCTCAAAATGACTGCCAGGGTTGTCCCGAAAATCGTGCTTTTGGGATTTTTGAAAAATGCGCTTGATTTTGAATTATGGGTAATTTAGTGCGAAAAAAGCCAAAAAATTCGATTTTTTCACCAATTTGTCGACAAAAACTATACTTAAAGTCAGAAATTAAAAAATCCCTAAAGCACGATTTTTCATCTTATTCCTAGTCGTCGAAAAATATAAAAATCAGTGATCTTGCGTAATATGTGTAGCCAGGTTTGCTCGGTGATTGGCTAAAATATGGCGCTCCGAAATCCCGAAAATTATCGACTTTTTTAACGAAATCCGAAAAAATCATCCATTTAGCGCAAAAAATAACCATTAAATGTATGTAAAGACGATAATTTTATTTTATTTCAATAAAATTTCCTCTCGATACTAGTTTGTTTATTTTCAAATGTTTTACGGTCAGCCCAAAATCGCGTCTTGTAACCCGATACTTTATCGAACGCACACAGCAATGGGAAAGAATGCCGTAGTGACAGACCGCCGTGCTTCTTACCTTACACTTGAGCACCGCCCCATGACCAACAGGGACTGACGGTGAGCTACCTCCGGTGTCTATTTTCGGACCTGAGAAGTGAGGACAATCGCACTTCAAGTTGTCCAGCGGCACCTGGCGCAGTATCTGCCCCGTCAGGTTCCCCGGGCCGGCGCATTCCAGTGTGGCAAGGGCAAAGGCCTGTGGAAATATTTTGACAGTAGAAAAGTTATGAGGAGCCAGATAGTTGCAAGCAAGACTCAATAATTATTCATTGATCTTTCGCAGGAACAACAAATCCTTGAATTCCGAATCAATGTACATTTCTCATAATTTTACAATTAATATTCAATGAACGACAAGAGCTAGAAACTAGAGCACGACACCGAATAACAAGAAGATAAAACCAAACAAACCTACCGCAGGTGTTCTCAAATATTGCGCGTACTCATACATCTGACAGTCACACTTCCAAGGGTTGTTGGTCATGTCTTCAAGCTCCATCAAATCTCCGTAGAAAGTCAGAGGTTTGTAGATTCCACCCGGCAGAAACTGGAGATAGTTGTTGTTCAGTCGCAGCGACTTCACTTCCACGGAGTCATTGAAGGCAGTTCCGTCTAATATACGTGAAATGTAAAGCAGTGCTGTTAGATATCATTTATTATAGTAAATGAAACGTAGTAGCTGGTATCATGATGATATATATACAGGAGTGAGGCCTGGATTTCGTCGGATCATGTGAAGTTACAACTGGTATGGTTTGATATTTATAGTGTAGAATTTGAAACCCAGGCACATGATGCGGATCTTATTATGTGGATCTATCATGTGGCAACAACGCTATCAGAAAACAAATGCTTGCTTGAATTATAATAAAAATGTACTAAAGAAAACAAGTTTAGACTTGTCTTTTGTGCGCACGCTTCTCACCTATGATGCGTAGTTTTGTATGATCCAGATGCACCGCGAAGAGCTGGTCGCCCCTGAAGGCCCGCGGCCCCACGTACACGATGGGGTTCCCGGACAGGTTGATCTCCTGGATCCGGGTCAGCTTGTCCAGGACGTTCTCAGGCACAGATGTCAGGTTGTTACCACTGAAAGAAATTAAAATTTAGAATCAGAATGTTACGTCATGGAAAAGGTACACAATCGGGAAGCACTGTGGGATGCATGTGGGATCCATAACTAAATAGCTGAATAAATAAAAAGTAAAAAAAATATTAGATACAAAAAATATGAAAAAAAAAACTAAAAATGAAAAGAAATGTAAAAAAATAAAAAAATAAAGAAATATCAAAAGTATTGAAATATAATAATGTTAAATATATAAAAAATTTAAGAGAATATATAGAAAATAAAAAACAAAAAATATTAAAATAAATAATAAAAATAACAAGAAAATTTAAAAAAAAATTAAAAGAAGAATATAAAGAAAATAAAAAATAAACAAAAAAATAGAAAATATAAAAATAAATAATAAAAAATAATAGAAATATAAGAAATAATCAAAAATAATCAAAAAATAGT